CGCAAAGGAAAAAGTGAAAAACTACACTGAGAAAAAAGTTATGGTCATCCTAAACCATGAGAAGTGCTCTCTATTGACAAAAGGTATCCGTATTCGGGTTTCGCATCTCAAAAAACCCCAGGCTACCAATTTCAAAAGTTATTCGTTGAAAAAAGTTCGAAAAGTTGAAAAAAAATTTAATTTTATTTTTTAACTTAACCACCCTGTATCTCGAAAACGAAGAAGTTTCGGACTGAGGTAAGTTGCTTTAAATCGTCTCATTCGGAACTCAGGAATATATGCTAAGATTTTGCATACCCTTTTTAGGGACATCCTGTATACAGGGTATTTCTGAAAGATCTTTAAATTCACACATATTCCTCGGACTGAAACAATTCTATATGAGCAAACTTAATATCGGCAATTGTGTTGGTCTGAGAAAAATGCGGTAGATTTTCGTAAAGACGTTTTTCAGGGACACCCTGTATATGTATAGGGTATCACGAAATTAACAATTCATGTTTCACCAGCAGCTATTCAAATTACCTGTATACATATAATCGAGTAGCACATGACTTCGCCTAGACAGTAAAAGTTGATTTGTACTGCCTGAGCAGTAAAGATTTTTTACTGCCAGAGCAGCAAATGTTCATCTACTAATAACTTTTACTGCTATGGCAGTACAATTTCATGTTTGCTGTCTTGGCAGTGAAAGTCTACCGTTATTTCGGCTACATGAAAACGTAACTGCACTGCCTAGACTATAATAAAAGGTTACCTACTGCCAGAGTTCGGCAAATATTCTGTGAAATGTATTTAAATAGTAAGTATTAAATACTTTCGGATATTGGAAATATTCAAATATCAAATCATTTCAGAGGGCAAAAAGTATTTAAATTACAAATACAAAAGTATTTGAATAGTTCACAGAAAGTATTTAAATACTTTCAAAGTATTTGAGTATTTCCGAAGTATTCAAATACTTTCAAAGTATTTGAATATTTCTAAAGTATTTAAATACTTTCAAAGTATTTGAGTATATTCAAAGTATTTGAATACGCTGAAAGTATTTGAATACTTCCGAAGTATTTGAGTATTTCTAAGGTATTTAATATACTTCCAAAGTATTCAAATACATCTCTAGCAAAAGTATAAAAAAATTAATACTTTCTTTGTACTGGACTGGAAAGGCGTCAATTTGTCAAAGCCCGACATCAATAGAAAAGGATTTCTTTTGAAATAAATTCACCATTCACTATATTGGATATTGGATGTGGAGGTCTCTGATATCAGCTCAGATTCTGTAAAACTAAAATCCACAGGATGTTCCATTTCAGAAGATGATAATCACAACCGTGATGGCCTTAAGTCAGGATCTAAATATTTAATTATTCAACTCCTAAGTATTCAAATAGTTCCACAGTATTTGAATATTTCACGAGTATTTAAATACTTCTGAAATATTTGAATACTTTTGAGTATTTAAATACTTTGCGGATCTATTTGCAACTACTAAGTTGTAAATATATTCCAAAAAAGTAGAATATAATTACATGAACCAGAAAGTATTCAATTACTCGGTATTTGAATACCGAGAAGAATTCAAATACTAAAAAGTATTTGTAAATACAAATAATGCCCAGCTCTGCCTACTGCGTGAGCAGTACAAATTTCTCAATGCCTAAACAGTAAAGTACTACCGATATTTATTTCAACTGAATAAATAAGTCTTTTTCACTGCTTATCGTTTTTACAGTGGACAAAAAAAATAATCTCTGCTCAATTATTATTTAAAAATGAACGGAAAAATGTTGTCTTCGTCAATCAGTCATAGAACCTGCTGGTGAGTTAATTTCGGGATACCTCGTAGGCGTTTTTATACGTGTATACTGAAACGATTAATCACATTCCAGTATTGATAGAAAATATCACGAATTTTTGAGAGCGTTTACAATTATTACATTGAATATTAATTAGAAAGTCGAACTTTTGATAATAATCTTGAAACGAGTTCAAATCGATTTCCATAATTACGAATAGTAGCGAATACAGGGTGAAATTAAAATAGACTTCAGGTCGAAATCGATCCATTGCATATTTTTATTACAGGGTGTTGATGAAAGCAAATCCTACATTCTTATATTTAAAAACGATGTATGCAAGACCGGACGTAAAGTGGCACTTTATCGCTCGGATTCGCGGGCGTAAAGTAACACTTTATCGCCGTAGTGAGATAAATCAGATGAGAGAAGTCATCACTTTGTTTTATAGATATTTCAGTATGATTCAAAAAAATTCCAATCCAACCTTGATGAACTACTATTCATTTAAAAGACGATATACAGGGTAGGGTGTCTTACTTTTATTTGTGTAGAAATTCATAAAACCTAATCTCCGAGATAATCAATTTTGCCCCTTTAACGTTTTTTTTTTTCAAAATCTGATTCTTCGAGAACCTCCTACTACGAGAAATATACAGTATGTCACGATTTCAAATTCGAACAAAATAGCGAATTTGTCAAATGTGTCATGGAATTATGTCAAAACAATTGAATGTTAGCTAATAACACTTCAATTTGATTTTGCCATACATTGAAAATGCTTTTGACACTTCTACTGGGTGTTAGGCATTCTGATTGATAACGCACTGTAGGATTTCCAATGAAAAAAATCCCTATCGAATTTCAGGGGTATAAAAAATGCATATAATAAATAGTAGTCAAGAGAAAAAAAAATTGAAGATTATCTCGGGAGAATGTTTCGATACATACACGAATAAAAGTAGTAATTAGTATACAGGGTGTTTCAACATTTCTATGCGAACATTTTGCAAGTATATTTTTGTTCCAAAATTGTGTGTACAGGGTGATTCACCATAATTGTCCCCCCTCCCTCTAACTCAGTTATTTTCGAACCGATTTCAAAATTTGAAATATCATCTTGAATGATTTTCGATAAAGTTTTTTTCCGCTACATCAGAAAATACAGGGTGCTCGGAACAAACGATCTACAGGGTACTATTTGATTTTTTTAAATGGAACGCCCTGTTTTTCATTTTATTTTTTTATTCTCCCTGATGAGCTGATTTGATCAATGTATCACAATTCGGGTCTAGCGGGAATGATTACAGAGATATATATAGGGTGTTCCGAATCGAGATTTTTCAACTTCAACAGGATTTTTTTGTGATGAAACTATTTATTATCGGTCGAAACGGCTTTCATTCATGTCTTAACTTTTTATTCACTATCTACTGACATTTAATAATTGGAACAAATACAGGGTGATCAGAATTCTGAATCTTGAATCACCCTGTAAATGTTTCAATTAAATGTCAGTAGATAGTGAATAAAAAGTTAAGATATGGACATGAAAGCCGTTTCGACCGATAATGAATAGTTTCGTCACAAAAAAATCCTAAAGTTGAAAAATCTCGATTTTGAACACCCTATATCTCTGTAATCATTCCCGCTAGACCCCAAGTGTGATGCATTGATGAAATCAGCTCTCCAAGAAGAATCTAAAAATACAATGAAATACAGGGTGTTCCATTTGAAAAAATCAAATAGTACTCTGTAGATCGTTTGTTCCGAGCACCCTGTATTTTCTGATGCAACGGGAAGAAAATTTCTGAAAAATCATTTTACATTATTTTTCAAATTTTTAAATCGGTTCAAAAATAAGTGAGATAGAGTGGGGGACATTTATTGAATCACCCTGTACAGGGTATCCCAATTTGGGCACTTTTGCGGGATATCTCCCTTATCAGTAAAGATAGAGCATTGCGGTTTTCGCGACAGTGTGCTACTTTTTTATGAAATTAATAATGGCGCAAGCAGAATTGTGATAGCTCTTCCGGTTGTCGAGATACAGGGTGGAATTGAAAAATATCACTTTTCAGGCACCCTCCGTGTCTCAGTTATCTTTGAACTTATCGAAGAAGTTGAAACTCGTTTTTATAGAGTTTTTCTCGTAGAATCCAGTGGCGTGGTTATTTTTTTGCTAGCACCTTTTGTTTTTTAGTTATGGAGCAAACATATGTTTTTTTAAATGGAAAATAATTGTATACAATTATATATTTTTGGGAAGCCCACTTCATGCTCAATGTATATATGAAATAATATACAGGGTGTTCCATTTAAAAAAACATATGTTTGCTCCATAACTAAAAAACAAAAGGTGCTAGCAACAAATTAACTACGCCACTGGATTCTACGAGAAAAACTCTATAAAAACAAGTTTTAACTTCTTCGATAAGTTCAAAGATAACTGAGACACGGAGGGTGCCTGAAAAGTGATATTTTTCAATTCCACCCTGTATCTCGACAACCGGAAGAGCTATCACAATTCTGCTTGCGCCATTATTAATTTCTTAAAAAAGTAGCACACTGTCGCGAAAACCGCAATGCTCTATCTTTACTGATAAGGGAGATATCCCGCAAAAGTGCCCAAATTGGGATACCCTGTACATCGTGTTCGAGATGAATAATGAATAAACTAGTGGAATTTGAAACGCTCCATATATAAAAATCTATATACAGCAGGGTAACCCGCGTCCCGTATACAGGGGGCTTGATTTGTTGTGGTATTTTATTTCCATGTGAACTGCTTTAATAATTATAATGTTAGTAATTATTTTAATTCTTAGTATTTTAGGTGATAATAATTTACTTGTACGTACTGATGAATCTATGCCCATTTGTATATTCATTCCTCTTTTACATTTTACCTTCAATTTAAGAAGTTAACTTTGTTATTTAAGCTGTGATTCAGGAAATATTGTTTAGTGTAGCCTGCTTATGTTCCATTTTAAATAGATCGATTATTTGATGATTTTATTTTCTATTCTTTCAGTGTTATCCTGAAAAGCAAGTTTTTCTCATTTTCTGGAAATGGTTGTCTGGAATTTTTGATTGAAAAAATGAGGGGATATATTACAAGGGAAGACTTTAATTAATTTAAATACTGAAAATTTACAAAACAATTCAAATATCTTGTTGGTTTATAACATTTTATAATAATTATAATAACCTTAAAACCAATGGAAATTTAGCCCCTGTCACTTGGACTTCTGCTATCCTATCTAGTGTAGTTAGACGATCCTTTAGGCTTCTAAGTCCCTTGAAAAAATATTTCGTTATATGGGGTTGAATAAAAAAATCAGTAAAAAATTATTTCAACATTGAAAGTTTTCAAAATTGATTGTTTAAAAAATTCTGAACAGGTTTCAATATGTTTTTTGATATTCCTTTCACCTCACCTTATAACTATTATTTTTCACCCCTTATATACCAAGTTGGTGATGTCCCGAATACTATAGAGTTTTTGTTATACAATTGAGATATTGATGAAGAACCTTCAATGTCAGACTAAGATATCGAAAATTCAGTAATTCAACTACTAAACTAGCTGTATCAAGTGGGAGCCAGCAGCATATTTCTGTAGATAAAATCCTACTTGGTCCTTCGAGCCGGATTCTTCATGATCCAGCTAGGACCATGTAGGATTATGTCTACAAAAATATGGGGCTGGCTCCCACTTGATACAGCTATTGTAGTAGCTAGAGTTTTTGTTATACAATTGAGAAATTGATAAAGAACCTTCAATGTCAGACTAAAATATCAAAAATTCAGTAATTAAACTACTATACTAGCTGTATCAAGTGGAAGCCAGCCCCATATTTCTGTAGGCAAAATCCTACTTGGTCCTTCGAGCCGGATCCTACATGATCCAGCTCGAAGGACCATGTAGGATTTTGCCTACAAAAATATGGGGCTGGCTCCCGCTTGATAGAGCTATTGTAGTTGCTAGAGTTTTTGTTATACAATTGGGAAATTGATGAAGAACCTCCAATGTCAGACTAAAATATCAAAAATTTAGTAATTGAGCTACTATACTAGCTGTATCAAGTGGGAGCCAGCCCCATATTTCTGTAGGCAAAATCCTACTTGGTCCTTCGAGCCGGATTCTTCATGATCCAGCTAGGACCATGTAGGATTATGTCTACAAAAATATGGGGCTGGCTCCCGCTTGATAGAGCTATTGTAGTTGCTAGAGTTTTTGTTATACAATTGGGAAATTGATGAAGAACCTCCAATGTCAGAATAAAATATCAAAAATTTAGTAATTGAGCTACTATACTAGCTGTATCAAGTGGGAGCCTGCCCCATATTTCTGTAGGCAAAATCCTACTTGGTACTTCGAGCCGGATTCTTCATGATCCAGCTAGGACCATGTAGGATTATGTCTACAAAAATATGGGGCTGGCTCCCGCTTGATAGAGCTATTGTAGTTGCTAGAGTTTTTGTTATACAATTGGGAAATTGATGAAGAACCTCCGATGTCAGACTAAAATATCAATAATTTAGTAATTAAACTATTAGCGTCATATTTCTGTAGATAAAATCCTACTTGGTCCTTCGAGCCGGATCCTAAATGATCCAGCTCGAAGGACCATGTAGGATTTTGCCTATGGGAATATGCTGCTGGCTCCCACTTGATACAGCTAGTGTAGTAGTTCAATAACCAAATTATATATTTTCGATGTTTTAGTCTGATATTAAAGGTTATTTATTAATTTCTGCCTTATATAGCACAAACTCTGTAGAATTCATGACAACTGTGTATACAAAAAGTGAACAATAATAGTTATAAAATTATACAATACAACATACTTTCCAATATTCCAAAATTCGACAATCTTGTTTTTCATTCCATTTATGGTGAGACGTTTAGCGTTATAGGGGTGATTTCTGCAATTATTTTTTGAATATCCACCCCTTAAGGAGATATTCGAATTTTATCAATTTGACGTTTCTAACACTGACTTTCCCTATCAACAGTCTTTGTTACATAAAAAAATTCTATCTACAAACACGTTCAATGTTGAAAACACAAATTATTGTACAGAGACAAAATGACATTGCTTTCACTCAAAGAATTCGTGCATGTGTGGAAAATCCCTCACCTCCAACATTTTCTGTTGCGCCTCTGGGTTCCTTTGGATGACTTGCGATTTCAGTTTCATGACGTCAGGAGCCGAACGACCGAACAATTCTCCTACGACGTCAGTGTGCAATCTGACGTCGATGTCGCCAGTGTCGTCTGTCACTTTTATCACCAAATGGAATGCGTCATCTGCGAACGGATTTCGTCGAATTTTTCACACCCCTCGTATAAAAAATAGGATCGTGAAAAAGGACCTCGCACTTTCCTTATGGAAAATGGCTTCCGGTTGAATTCCCTGAATTTTTGGTATGATGTAGATTTTGATTTCCTAAGCAAAAGTGTCCATGGGCACAAAAAAATCGGCTGACTAGTTTTCGAGATACAGGGTGTCAAAGATGAAAAGTGAAGCTTTTTGCTCACAATTTAGAGAATTGACAAAACGGCCGTTTATTCATGGAATTACATGCCTGAATGATGGTACAATGTCATCTGGATCTCGTTTCCATTATAATTTTACGTTTTGGGCTCTACAACAGGGTGAACAAAGAAAAATCCAATTCGATTGATTTTAAATCAACCAGGGTCAGTTCTTTCATGAGAATTAAAGATTCAATTGAGCCTTGACGAACTTCCCCAATCTCGATCGAAGTTTACTGGCTTTTTTTTTCATACAGTGTGACCCACTTCAAATGGAACCACCCCTGTATCTCACGTAATCGTTGGGTAGGGATCATGAAATTTGCTGGAGCGAGATATATACCAAAAATGCACTCTATAACCAAATGGGGTCATCTTCAGTGATATACACTGCTCGCCAACAGCCATGGAACAACCCCAATTTCCGGAAAATGATATTAGGAGTCAAAATACGTTGGAAATCACTTTGGATTCGGAATCAGGACGCCCAATTCACTAACTATTCATAGTTTTCCTAGGAAATTTGGAGTTCAGGAAATTTGAATTTTGTCTCACTTCTCATGGAAGCACCCCCGTATCTCACGTAATTATTGAGGTAGGATTCTGAAATTTGCAGGAGAAAGGAGTGCTTCCGTGAAAAGTGCGACAAAATTTAATTTTTCAGAACTGAAAATTTTTCAGGAAAAATATGAATAGTTAGTGTATTGGGCGTCCTGATTCCGAATCTGAAGTGATGTTCAACCTATTTTGACTCCTAATATAATTTTCCGAAAATTGGGGTGGTTCCATGGCTGTTGGCGAGCAGTGTATATCACTGAAGACGACCCCACTTGGTCATAGAGTGCATTTTTGGTATATCTCTCGCTCCAGCAAATTTCAGGATCCTTACCTAACTATTACATGAGATACAGGGGTGGTTCCATTTGAAGTGGGTGACACTGTATACAGGGTGGTTCGAAAATAGGGGTAAGTCAATCCCTAGTTTTTTTAATCGGAAAGGGGAGAGCGTATCATATATATATCAAATACTCTTTGATGTTGAGAAATGAGAACGTCGCATACTCATTTCATATATATAGGGTGAGTAAAAATATACAGTCCAAGTTTCTTGAAAAAAATGCGTTTTTTTTTTTTCTAGCATTGGTCTCCGGACTTAAGAATGTACGGATTTTATTGATACCCGATATACTCCATAGGAGTTCGAAATGGGCTATATTCGGGCTAGATTAGTGCGGTACCTATTCCGAAAATGCAATACCTTATATACAGAGTGAATGAAATGATTTTCATTTGAAAGTCCTGTTTCCGAAGGAACTACCAAAAATTCAGAATTCAACCAAAAGCCATTTTCCATAAGGAAAGTGCGGTGTCTTTTATAATATATTGGATGTTGAAATTATGAAATATTTATTGAAATCCACCCTGTATCTGTACATTGCAAGGCAAAGAAAGGTTTCAACACAAATGAAGGATACAGCACTGGATATCCCTAGAATATTCTCTGAATATGCTTAAAAAGAGGAATATATTCCGAATATCCACCGAATATTCCTAGGATATACAGGATGATTCACGGTGGAAGGCACATTAGACGTTTCTGTAGAACGTAACTTGGGATTATTCTGAAAATTTGGTGCCTTGGATAATTAATTGTGCTCTATCGAGCTAAAATATTCTCAGTGCTGCGACGTTGCCGCTTATATTGAAAAGAAGCAACACCTTTGATTTTTTCAATGGGACACCCTGTATATCATTCCGTTTTCAGATTCTCCCTGAAGAGCTGATTTCATCGATCTATCACACTTGGGGTCTAGTGTGAATGATAACAAAGATATGGGGTGTGAAAAATCGAGATTTTTCAACTTTAAGAATTTTTCATGTTGAAACTATTCATAATTGGTCAAAATGGTGCCAATGTCCCTGTCTTAACTTTCCACGTATTATCAATTGATATTTAATTGAAATATATACAGGGCGGTCAAAAATCTTGATTCTGAACCACCCTGTATTTATCAGTTAAATATCAATTGATAGTGATTGAAATGTTGGGATAGCGACAAGAAAACCGTTTTGACCAATAATGGATAGATTCAACACAAAAAATTCCTAAAGTTCAAAAATCTCGATTTTTCACATCCTATAACTCTGTAATTATTACTGCTAGACCCCAAGTGTCATAGGTCAATGAAATCAGCTCTTCAGGAAGAATCTGAAAATGAAATAATATACAGGGTGTCCCATTTAAAAAATCAAAGTTGTTGCTACTTTTCAATATAAGCGGCAACGTCGCAGCGCTGAGAATATTTTAAGTCGACAGAACACAACTGATTATTCAAGGCACCAAATTTTCAGAATAATTCTGAGTGGAGTTCTCCATATACGTCCAATGTGCCATCCACCGTGAATCACCCTGTATACAATATCATTTTATTTGATTAATTGGTCTAGTGGTTGAGGAGTTGCTCTGACAGACTGGAAATCACAGGTTTGAGCCCATCTTGGGTCACCTTATTCCATTTGAAAATATGTTTATTGGAATATTCTAGGAACATTCCTAGAATATTCCTAAAATATATTCTACATATCCATAGAATATTCTCTTGGACATATTCAATGAATATCTGAGGAATTCCGATTACTTCAGAAAATATTCCACTGATATTCTAGAATAGATTAATCTTAGAATATTCCCAAAGGAATATGATAGGGAGATTCACGGAATATCTGGTGCTGTCTGGGGAAATAGTGGCTTTTCCATTAATTTGAAAGGAATTGAAAATAAATGGAAGAAGATGAAAGTAAATGAAGCAAATCAAAATGTGATTCTTGAAGAGGAAATGAACGGGAATTAAAAGGAATTTATGGGAAAAAACGGTGGGCAGTGAAGGAAAATGAGAGGAAATACAAGAAAATAAAAGGGTATGAAGAAAATGAGGAATCTTGCAAAATTCATGAAGTAAATGGATGGAATATGAATGAAATAAAAGGAAATCAAGGAGAGATGTTAAAAACAGATGGGTAATGAGAGGAAATAAAAGGAAATAATGAATGTCAACTTCCTTGGATGAAGAAGAGAAGGAAATGAAAGCACATGAAAAAAAATGCTAGCAAATGAAGGAAGCTTGATGTTATCTTCCAGGGACATGAAATTCCCTAGGAAATGAATGAGAATAAGAGGAAACATAATAAAATGAAGGGAAAATTATGGAAATGGAAGTAGATGAATGGGAAATGGAATAAATGAATGGGCAATGAAAGTAAATAAATATGTGGTTGGCCCACCCTTTTCACTTTGAATTTTTGACAAAAAACTGAAATTTTTTCCATGTAATCCCTATAATCATGATGTTTTGGAAAAAATAAGAATTTTTTGATGGCAGATAACCTACCCACAACACACATCTTCTCAACTACTGATTTGTATTTAGCTCTTATCTTGAATTTGCCATTGCTGATGTTTGGAATGTTTTTGGATAATTTTTCAATGGTCCATATCTTCATCTGTGAAGAAGTGATGGGTTTTGAAACTGATGCCATGTCAATTTTATCCAAATGAGCATCCAAATCAATGTTTGAGAAAAAATCATTTTCCTCATATTTATACTCATATAATTGTGGAGTATCAGAAGGAGTATCAGAAGAAACAGTAGGTGATGGATCCTCTTCTATCTCAGGTATGTTCATATCTTCCAAAGCTGCATCATCTAATAATATTTAGTAACAATAAACTTCTCTGGGGTGAAAATTAATTTGAGAGGAAAAAAAGTTGGTTGAATATTGCTTCTTACCAATATTCATGTTGTCAAACACATCCACATTGGGTTTTTTTCTTTTACTCCTGACTTCTTCAAATTCTCTTTCTACTTCCATCATCATTTCAATTTCATCATTTATTCTTGAATTTTCATTTTCTAAATCATCTAATTCTTCAGCAATTTGAGTATATTGTTTTGGGACATTTCCAGACTCTGTATAGCCAGCATTAACAATTCTATTGGTTTGATTAAAGGGTAAAACTTGATTAACAATATTATGACTAGATATTTCATTCAAGGTTCTGCTATGTGATCTTGGTGCATCATCTAAAAATTTCAAAATCCTCACACACTGTTGATTTGATTTTGGGACCATAGTAGAATGGAATTCCATCAATTTCAAGTTGGAGCTGGACTTTTTTCAACTAAAATTGGCTTTTTACTCACCAGTCTGATTCAGCACTGTTGTATCAGCAGTAAAAATGCTTTCTTGAATAATGGCAGGTTTTGGATTCAAGGGAAGATTGAAATGTTTAGCTAAAATATTCTCTGCAGCATTAGGTACAATCAAGCTGTCCACTTCACCACCCAGAATTTTAATATTTTGTTCTTGAAGCATGATTCTACCCCTTCTCAACTCCATGGGCCCCATTAATCTCACTTTGATACCTGGTGAGAGATTCAAATTCAAGCATTTTATAGGTTTGAATTCCATAGCTTCTATTTCTTGAACACCATCCGAAAGAGTAATCAACAATGCTCGTTTAGAGGATTCCACTTCCTGTTCCAGATTCTTTGGAATGCCGTTTCTTATCCTTTGTAACTGCCAGAGTTTTGGCTTTGATATGTCCACTATCTGCATTACCTGTAGGGAGTAAATTCCATTGAGGGTGTGCTTTATCTTGCTGGATAGGTCTGGGGGGAGACAAGGAATTTCTACGTCTCTCAGATCCAAAAGGAGCCATTGTTCAAATACGCTGAATTGCAGATCTTTGATGGTGTAGTTGCTGGACAGATTCTCTTCTTTGCACCAATTTATGCAACTTACTAGCCAAGGGCGAGCAAGGAGGACTTGCTTCGACTTGAAGAAGTCTTCCAAGACTGTTATTTCGTTCATAACCACATATTTACTTGATAAATGAAAAATGTTCGAAAAAAAAATTAAATCAACTTCTGAATAGTCTTAATTCTAAAGTACCGCCAGTCGGGCACGGACATGGATCGCAATAATTCAAATAACCATGACTTTCGGTATAGATACATTTTTAGACCAATCAGATCGATTCTAGCTATAGCGGTCAATTCGAATCTCTGTATCTTTACTCGAAAAAATCACAGGACTCACAAACACGTAGAAAAAACAGGATCGCTGTCTCGGACCAGGAAGGAGCGAGCCATGGGTGTCGGCTTCATTCTGTTCTGACCGATGGCAGCAAATGGGGAAGGATAGTAATCTATGGTATAATGATGAAAGTAAGATATGGTGCGCGTATTCGGCCATTATTACGTATTGAAAATTTCAGAAAAATCACTTGACCGCCTACTATGATTTCTCAACGTCACAAGGAGCGAGACGTTGATTCTACATTTTCCCACTAGATGGTGATGCTGCTATTGCTGCTGTGACGAGTGAAAATAATATGGCTAATGGCATTTTAGGTACGCGGAACATATGTAACAGTGGGATTATTCAACTCTGAATTCGAAAAATCTGCGACAATTTCGAAACTGACAGATATAATAATTGTGCAATGTCGCCATCTATTAGAAGATCGACGGAACCATTGCTCTCACTGTTCTTGAGAGGTCGAGTAAAATTTCGGAAACAAAAGCGCATCAGTAATCACACCATATCTTACTTCCATCATTTATGATATCATTGAATAGAGTCATTGATATTTTCGTTTGGGATCATGTTCTATTCGAGGAATTCCCATGCATAAATAATAAAACTACTACACTCCAGTCAGAATGAAGCCAACTTGCCTGTACATTCCTGCTCCGAGACGCCGATGTATGAAATGACTGCCATAGTTGGAATCGTTCTCATTGGTCCAAATATGCGTTCTTACCGAATCATTGATATTTGAATATGTCGATAGCACGATAGAACATAACCGGCGGACGATAACGTAGACATGTCGGAATCTGTCACTGTCACAAATAGAGGTTAGGTTTTTAAATTATTTACAAAAAAAACAAGGTTTTACAAAATTTTCCAGTAGCCCACTAATTAATCCCAAAGATAATAAGATAAAAATATAATTATCATTATCATATGACCACTTGTTAACAATTGAGAACAATCTGGAAAACCATAAAGGGTGTAGGAGCTTTCCAAGTAAGTGGAAATCATATCTAGAAAAATGGTCATAACACATCACGTAGAAGGCTACGACAATTTCGTGGAGTTTTTGAAAACGTTCGATAGCAAGGGCCAAACAGTGCACATTTATTTCTCTGGCTCGAAACTACCCAACGGGGAAAGTTGGTGCGACGATTGCCAAAAAGCAAAGCCAGTAATCGATGCAGAACTGGAAAAGTGTGATCCTTCCTCCCATTTTGTCTATGTGGAAGTGGGCGACAGACCGACATGGAAAGACCCGAATTGTCCTTTCAGGAAGGACCCCAAAACCAAATTGATAGGGCTGCCCACCCTGGTAAGATCTCAAACAAACATTAAACCACTCAGCAGTGTTGCATATGTCAGTCAAAATGAGAAAAGTAATATTTTCAAAGACAAAATAGTAATAGATTCTGCCAGAAGAGAGAATTTTTGCAATCTATTACTATTTTTTGAAAATCTATTACTTTTTGATGTCACATTGCCTTATGCGCATGCGCAGGAGCTCACTTCTGTATGACTTAATTATCTATTATAAGTATTCGAAAATATTATTTATTTTCATCACAATACGAATAAAACAATGTATTGAAGTTGAATATTTAATAGGAGAATGAAATCATCAAAGAACTCATCAAAATTCATTTCATGAATGAACTTCGAACAAAGGAACTTCCATTCAATAACTGATGAACCAAATAATTATCACAAGAGCATCAGTCACAAAATATTCTTAAATTGGTTTTAGTATCATGCCTATACGTAGAAAGATGAAAAAGAAACAATTTATTTCATGGATAAACTTCGAATGTCATACGAAGTCAATTGTCAATATTCACAGAACTCACAGATAATGTGCATGAATCCGTGAATAATGACGTTCTGTTGGAATAGTAATAGATTTGGAATTATTTAAGAGTGTACGTAATAGCGTAATAGATGGGATCCGAAAGTAATAGAACTATTACTATAGGAATAGTATACACAACACTGCCACTCAGTCAAAGGTTGTATGTTATTGATATTATTATCTTTGTTGTTTGTTTTAAAGGTTAGATGGGGCTGTCCACAGAGACTAGAAGTTGGTCAGTGTGAAAAACCTGAACTTGTGTCTATGCTGTTGAATGATGAAGATTAAAATTAGGAAGAAACCTTATTTTATATACCTAATATTATATTTACATTTATTATGTTTATGAATTATTATTGAACAAGAATTTTGTAAGATGAATGAATATACTGAAAAACAATAAATAGCATGAGTATCAGTCAATTCAATGATATGAATTGGATATCTCAATAAAGAAAAGTGTTATTTAAAATTTGTATTCAGTTCAGAGTTTTTTTAGACCCTAACCCAAACCTTCATCCATCATTTCACATTCCCTAAGAGAATCTCAATTTTGTTGTGGAATGCAGAAACTGAATATAAAATAGACAAGGTGAGTGTTGATTTACTGAATAGTTTATTTGATATTGAATTATTAATAAATGTTTCCAAACTCATTCTTCAAGAATTTGTTCAGAACATTTTATTTTCAGTAGGATTTCATGAAGTCTTCATTATTTATATTATTTGAAATGGTGATGATCATTCTCCACTATAACTGGGAAATGTTGTTTAATTTTCTCACTGCAGTGCAGTAATTCCAACTTTTTCAAGAGAGTTTGTTCATGTTATAATATTTTCCATAAAAATACATCATAACAAATCATTCTGCTTTATATTACATAACTATTTCAAAAACCGTTTCATAAAAATAAAATAGAAAAACGGTCGTTTATAAAATACTTTGATAAAGTCGAAAACAATAGACATTAATGTCAAATAATAACCTATTTTTAATCTTGAATATTCTATAAGAAATTAACAACAACAAAATTGACTCTGGCACATCATAATTATATTAGGTAAGTCACCATTCTCATTTTTAAATCAGAATTAGAGAAACAAGCCTTGAATAGAGGAATCCAAAACAACATTCTGACATTTCAGAATCTTGACAGATCTGGGGATTTTGTTTTGCATAAAAGAATTTTGAGGAATATGTCAGAATTTTGACTTGTATGTAAGAAGTTTGAGATGTCACTGCCAGAATTTGACGTGTATGTCAATTCCAACAGATTTGAACTATGTAAGAATTTTATATGTCAACTGTCAGAATTCCAAGTCAAAAATCAAAAACCCTTATGATGTATGTCAGAAATTGGCTTGTATGTCAATATGTACTGGTATCTTGCAAAATTGAAAAATATGTAAGAAATTATAGTTTTTGTTAATGTCAAAATATCTAGTCAAAATCCTTCGGCGGGTGTTAAAAATTAACTTGTATGTCAAAATTTCGACTTGTACATCAGAAGTCTGACTTGTATCTCAAAATTCCAACTTGTATGTAGGAATTTCGACTTATATGTCAGAAATCTGACTTATTGTATCCTGGGAAAACAACTGTTCAAAAACCCAAAGAAACAATTTTAAAAACTCAACAAATTCACTTTCCGAACTCGTGCGGAAAAGTGGACTTTTCCGTACGCTAGTAGAAAAATCAACTTGTATGTCGGAATTACAACTGGTATCTGAGAATTTTGACTTATATGTCAGAAATCTGACTTATTGTATCCTGGGAAAACAACTGTTCAAGAACCCAAATGAAAGAATTATGAAAACTAGTGCGGAAAAGTACACTTTTCCGTACGCTAGTAAAAAAATTAACTTGTATATCAAAATTTCAATGGGTGTCTGAGAATTTCGACTTGTACATCAGAAGTCTGACGTGTATCTCAAAATTTCAACTTGTATGTAAGGATTTTGACTTGTATGTCAGAAATCTGACTTGTATCCTGGGAAAACAACAAATGCACTTTCCGAACTTGTGCGGAAAAGTGAGCTTTTCCGTACGCTAGTATGTCAGAAATCGTCTTGTATGTCAATATGTACTGGTATCTTGCAAAAGTGAAGAATATGTAGGAAATTTAGTTCTTATTTATGTTAAAATACCTAGTCAAAATCCTTCGGCGGGTGTTAAAAATTAACTTGTATGTCAGAATTTCAACGGGTTTCTAAGAATTTCAACTTGTACATCAGAAGTCTGACTTGTATCTCAAAATTTAAACTTGTATGTCGGAATTTTGACTTGTATGTAGGAATTTTGATTTGTATGTCAGAAATCTGACTTGTTTTAAAACCAAACAAACAATTTTCATCGTCCTCACTTCTCATTGGCCGTTACACTATTTTTTATACTAGCGTGCGGAAAATACCCGATAGTCAACAAGACACATTCGTTATTATTAAATATTGAAATGTCAGTATACTCCCCAAAAACTTGACAAACCCACTTTTCCGAACTTGTGCGGAAAAATGGATTTTTCCGCACGCTAGTAGAAAAATTAGCTTGTATGTCAGAATTTCAACGGGTTTCTAAGAATTTCGACTTGTACAACAGAAGTCTGACTTGTATCTCAAAATTTCAACTTGTATGTTGGAATCATGACTTGTTTGTCAGAACTCTGACTTGTATCCTGAGAAAACAACTGTTTTAAAACCAAACAAACAATTTTCATCGTCCTCACTTCTTATTGACCGGTACACTATTTTTTATACTAGCGTGCGGAAAATACCCGAGAGTCAACATGACACATTCGTTATTATTACATATTGAAATGTCAGTATACTCCCCAAAAACTTGACAAACTCACTTTTTCGAACTTGTGCGCAAAAGTGGACTTTTCCGTACGCTAGTAGAAAAATTAGCTTGTATGTCAGAATTTCAACGGGTTTCTAAGAATTTCGACTTGTACATCAGAAGTCTGACTTGTATCTCAAAATTTCAACTTGTATGTTGGAATTTTGACTTGTATGTCAAAACTCTGACTTGTATCCTGAGAAAACAACTGTTTTAAAACCAAACAAACAATTTTCATCGTCCTCATACTTCTTATTGACCGGTGCACTTTTTTTATACTAGCGTGCGGAAAATACCCGAAAGTCAACATTACACATTCGTTATTGTTACATATTGAAATGTCAGTATACTCCCCAAAAACTTGACAAACTCACTTTTTCGAACTTGTGCGCAAAAGTGGACTTTTCCGTGAGCTAGTAGAAAAATTAACTTGTATGTCAGAATTTCAACGGGTTTTTATGAATTTCAACGGGTTTCTAAGAATTTCGACTTGTACATCTGTAGTCTGACTTGTATCTCAAAATTTCAACTTGTATGTCAAAATTTCAGCGGGTTTCTAAGAATTTCGACTTGAATCTCAAAATTCCAACTTGTATGTAAGAATTTTGACTTGTATGTCAGAAATCTGACTTTTATCCTGGGAAATCAACTGTTTTAAAACCAAACAAACATTTTTCATCGTCCTCACTTCTTATTGGCCGGTACACTATTTTTTTCTACTAGCGTATGTCAGTATACTCCCCAAAAACTTGACAAACCCACTTTTCCGAACTTGTGCGCAAAAGTGGACTTTTCCGTGAGCTTGTAGAAAAAATAACTTATTTGTCAGAATTTCAACTTGTATGTAGGAATTTGTATCCTGGGAAAACAAATTTTTATCCTGGAAAAACAACCTTTTGAAAACCCAAAAAATCAATTTTAATCGGGAATATATCTTCTTCACTTCTTATTGGCCGGCAGATATGACCTTTTGGTGATCTGCCCCAAAGACACCAACCGACCATCGCTGACGTACGGCACGTGACCTACCACCTCGTCGGCCGTCATGTAAAGCGCCGGGGGCAAACCGACCCCGCTCACCCCCACTACCACCAGATGGTGCACCTCCTCCAAAGTTGCCATATTTTCGGGGGTGACGATTTTAAGGGTGGATTCGCATAAATCGACGCCTCTGACTATGGCGTGCCCTAAGCGGGCGAATAAGTTTTTTTGGGGGTGGGGTTTTGCGCAGAGGGCAACTAAGTTGGCGTTGGCGGCTGCGGGGGGAAGTGGGGCACCGGTGGGGTCGGTTATGTGGATCGAATTTAGGTTTATCCTGGAAGAGAATCGAAATCGGTTGTGAAGGAGCATCAGCTTCGCCGGTGTGAAATTTTATGTTGGTAACATTGGAAACGGGATGAAATAGAGAAGAAGATCACATTAACCTCAATATAAAAAAGGTTAAAACCCAGCGAGCACAAAAACATCTCAGAGATTATAAAAGTACGAGATTTCGAGACATTGAACCTCCACTGCGATGTTCTGTTCACACATGAATAGAACTATTATAGAACAGCCAATGTCCGCCGCAGGCGGCAATTATCGAGATGTCCTTGATGTGTCACAAAACTACCTTCTCCCTAGTTCTTTTTAAAGCCTTTTCATGGACACAAAAAAACATTTTCAACGCGTCTTGCGCACATTAAATCGCTGTAAAAAAACCATTTTCGAGGTACTTTTCTGAAGCCTTTTGTCAAAATGAACTTTTGCATCAGGATTCCATTTCCCTTGAATGAAAAAATGCATTAAAAATAGATTGAACATAAAAATATTTTCTTGGTATGAAATTACCTTCTTAATCGGTTTCTGAGTAGTGCTCACTACACACAGACATATAATTGGAAATAGGTTTCCCAATTTTTGAAATGTTCTCCACAATGCATAATTTTGCAACTGCGGAGAAGCTGTGTATTGATGAATTCGTACTTTTATATATTGATTACACTGAGGCACCGAACAACAAATCTTGCATCTGATGGTCATTATTACAAACTAAATAAGTCTTCTAACACAATAAACTTCACCAAATTCCTTTCTGTTCGTTAGCAGCGTGATGTAAGCGTGATGACACGCTGCAAACGCGAATGCCAATTGCGAACAAGAAGAACAAAATCGAAAACAAATCAGAATTCATCGTATTGTGACGTAAGCATGAGACGTTGTGGTGGGGCAAACAAAGAAAGGGCACAAAAGAACAAAAACAATACTTTCAATATCCTTCTAAGACCTCTCTGGGAAGTGCATATTACGCCTCAAAAAAAAATCCTCATGCCTACATTTCTAAAACATCCCAAAACATCCCAGGGATACCTCTCAGTAGGCAAACAAAGAAATGCCACAGAAGAACAAAAACAATACTTCAATATCCTTCAAAGACCTCTTTGGTCAGTGCATATTACGTCTCAAAAATAACATCTTCATGCTAACATTTTCAAAACATCCCAGGGATGTTTGTGCTCGCTGGGAATGGTCATCTTGTCCATTTCGTCATGATTTCATCTAATGGCCAGTGTTGCCAACATAAAATTCTCATTATTTTATGTTGGAACACTGAAGACAAGGATAGATGGTGAAGACATTTTTGCTTCTCTCTCAACGCTAACTGACCTCTGCTCTATTCGCGATAGAAAATAACACGTCGCTCCACCTGACGGCAACATCTTGAACACTTCTGAGCGGTTTGTTTTGATGATGTGACCAATAAGAACGAACAGAAAACGAATGGGAACCAATGAAAACATGCCGCTTTGACAGCTTTCAAGAACTCCGATAGGTGGCGTACGCTTATTTTCTATCGCGAATTAGTACTATATACAGTATTTTACTGAAACAGGATTCTGAAGAAGGAATCATTCTTTGTGAAATTTTGATGAATAAGATGTATTCGATTTATTTAAGGTTAAATTCGTTTTCAAAAATGAATCAGATACTTTTCATTGATATATCAAATGAAAAAAGAATCCACATTTTTTATCGTTAATTAGATACCTTGGACACACGTATTTATTGACAGCTGCTTGAATGAAAATACTGTTTTTAGTCTAGAATATTTCCAGAGGTTAGACTATTCATAATATTTGCATATTTTATATGATCAAAAACTGTTGAATTGGTTATTATAGGAAATAAGAGCAAGAACAACTTCTTGGATCCTCATTATTCAATCTAATTATAATTGACATTGATAAAAGACAGTGCATTCAATAAATGACACTCAACTATGTTTTTCCTAGTGAATTATTGTCAATTGATGATTTTTCACCTGAAAAGGGTAAAGCATTTTGTGTTATTGTGTTGGCAGTAGCTTAGTGTCTACTGTCACTACTTGTTGAATGTCAATTACAGTGTCACTTGTTGAATCGAATGTGGTTTATCAATTTCATTTTTTGTTCAGATTTTTTTTAATCAACAATTTACCTGTTTCAACAGTATTTTACCTGATTATGAGGAGAATGTCGCCAAAAATCTTGCCAAAACCGAATGAAATGTTTCTCCCTTGAAAATTAGGTGAATTTCAGTAAATTGATTCAATTATAAGGAACAAACCAGCATGAAAACTTGAACAAATTCAATGTTGTTTATATACAGAGAAGTGCACAAAAAACGGCCAGGATTATAACTTTTGAATTATTCTAGATAGGGTTTTGAAAATTGGTGGATAGCAAGTATACCAAATTGCTCATCAATTGATGACACAATTTTTCGTCTATCACTTCCAGTTTCACCGGAAACGGGACAAATGGGACACCCTGTATTGTATTCCATAATCAGTTAGAAATTGTCATGACGAATTCAACGATACCGGGTTTGATAGGGTTATTTCAAACGATTACAAAGATATTTGCGTTCGAAGTTTCCGTATGCCCAATGGGTGTGACTGCAATATCAAAACTTTTTCTCTGTCACACTCATTGAGCATATGGAAACTTGGAACGCGAATATCCGCGTAATCGTTTGAAATAACCCTATCAAACCCCGTATCGACGAATTCGTTATGACAATCCCTATCCGATTATGGAATACAATACAGGGTGTCCCATTTGAAAATCAAAAGTTGGGATTGTTTCCAGTAAAACTGGAAATGATAGAACAAAAATTGTTTCTTCAATCAACCCATTAGCGCCGTGCGTTGCCATATGGCAACGCTAGGCAAATGGAGATTCAAATAATTCCCAGTCAAATTTTTAGCTATTAGGGTGGGAGACAGCCCACATGATTCGCAAAAGAACCGGTTAAGCACATGCCGCCATTTCTTTGTTGTGAGAAAGCTGTTTCGGAAACGTGAATTTGTGAAACTTTGAGATTATTTGAACTGACGTGAAACATGGACGTCACGTTCGTTTACGTATCATCCTGTTTTCACGCATTCGATTTTGCAATTTTTGTTTTCATAATTATGATGCACATGCTTATAATATATGTGACATATTGTGATTGATTGATTATATTCAGCGAATGTAGTGAATTCCATTTATGAAATGGCCATAAAATTTCATAAAAAAGGAAAAAATAATTCCGGCGCTAATGGGTTAATGAGCAATTTGGTATACTAGCTGTCCACCAATTTTCAAAAATTAGAAAGTTACAGTCCTGGCCTTTTCATGTTCACTTCTCTAACAGAGTGACCTAAAAGTATTAAGTAATTTAGGTACCTAACACACTGAATATAAATCCCACATTGATACAGTTGTCAACATGTGTTTTTTTCCTTGAGATTTTATAACTCCGTTGTTTATCTAAATATCAGAGAATAAAACAAATCATTTGATGATTTGAAAAACACTACAAACTGCCCAACCTGGTGCTATAATTGCCAGGGAATTCGAAATTCTAGGACTTACTCGAACATCGGCAGCCTCCAATCCGTCAAGGACTGAACCCTATCGGTCATCATCCGTCCCAAATCCGCTAAAACGCACATCTCTCTGCTTTGCCTCGGCTCCAATTTCCATCCGCCATTTTTTTGATCGGTCATCGCCCTGATTTTGTGCAAATTGTAGTCCAATTGGTCTGCCCGATTCCTCGCAAACAAACGGCATTTTTGCTGGACAGTGTCCACAGTTAAGGGGTGTGCGAAATTTCTCTTGTGGCTGTCGCTATCGATCTGAACGACGTCTGTCGGTAGGATGTAGGTTATGGCGGATGAAATGATATTGAGGCCTATGCCTAGAAGAGAATAATACTGTGATGATATTTCCCTCAGAGGGGCTCTAGGAACATCATCAGGAAGGCAGGAGTACAACGATCATCCTGTAACGCGCATCCCAGTTTGTTCTCCAACATCCTAAGGATTCCTACATGTACCAGCATATTTCCGAACACTCAATACATGCCGCGGTGACAAATAACGTGACAGAAGATTCTGGAATGTTCTGGAAACAATCGATGGAACAATTAGAGAGAGAGGTATTGTTCTAAGAAGCTTCTAGAACAGAAAGAAGGGTACGGAAGATCATTCGAGAACGTTCGAGAAGCAAAGCCTACCAAGGGATCTTATATATCAGACGGCCAAACAACTGCGTCAGTCAGTCGAGCAGCGAGTGTCAGAGAGACAATTATATACCGCGTGATATAAATCGTTTTACATAAATAGTAGTTATAAGTTCCAAATTTTGAACAAAGAATCATAATCTCCGACCTCGAAAACACCCAGATAACAATTTTGAAGAGAGTCGGATCATAATTACAATACTCGTCCGCCATATTGGGTCCGCCATCTTGAATTTCCTAATTTTGACGAAAGAATCATTATCTCCGAAGCCGAGAACCACCAGATACCAAATTTGAATAAAATCGGATCCTAATTACAAAATCCGCCATTTTGGATCCGCCATCTTGAATTTCTTAACTTTGACGAAGGAATCATAATCCCCGATCTCGAAACATCTTGATACCAATTTTGAAAAGAATCAGATTATAATTACAAAACTCGTCCGCCATATTGGTTCCGCCATCTTGAATTCCCAAATTCCGCCCGAATTTTCAAATTCTGACGAAAGAATCATAATCTCCGACCTCGAAAACACCCAGATAACAATTTTGAAGAGAGTCGGATCATAATATTACAATACTCGTCCGCCATATTGGGTCCGCCATCTTGAATTTCCTAATTTCGACCAAAGAATCATAATCCCCGCCCCGAGAAACCACCAGATACCAAATTTGAATAAAATCGGATCCTAATTACAAAATCCGCCATTTGACTTTGACGAACTGACGAAGGAATCATAATCCCCGATCTCGAAACATCTTGATACCAATTTTGAAAAGAATCGGATTATAATTACAAAACTCGTCCGCCATATTGGTTCCGCCATCTTGAATTCCCAAATTCCGCCCGAATTTTCAAATTCTGGCGAAAGAATCATAATCTCCGACCCCGAAAACCCCCCAGATACCAATTTTGAATAGAATCCGACCGTAATTACACAACTCGTCCGATATATTAGATCCGCCATCTTGAATTTCCTAATGGTGATATGAATATGAGCCCAAGATTGTTGAATTCTGTTGAAGATAACCAGAGTTACAGACGTTTAGAAAAAACATAATTTGACGTTCCCCCACCACTTTATTTTTTGAGGAATTCATCAAGGATCAAACTGCATATATTTGCAATTTTCCCTTCACTCATAGCCAATGCGCCACCTAGCGGTTATTTTAGAAACCTAAAAATATTTTCCAGCTATTTTTCAGGGTCTCTTTACTTGAGAATTTTGTTTTCAAATTTGTATCATTATTCTCCTTGCTGAGATATGGTCGACAGCCATTTTTAGTTGTTCACCCTGTACATACGTCATTGCATTCATAAAAATGTTCTCTATTATAAAAAAAAATTCACGTTGATCTTCATCAATGCTTTTTTTCTTAATGGATTCTTTAGTTACTTCAGCAAATTTAAACAATAAATATAGATGGTATGACTGCCCAAAAAATTCACAAAATCCTATCATGTTGTATCAAAATTTGATGAAAATTAAAAAAACTGAGTGGGCCATTTTGAAGTAATTGAAAAACATATTTATAGTGAGGCATTTGTACCTACCTACAATGGTACAAATCGGATATTTGTACAGGGATACCCAATAAAAATGTAAAAATGAGTGACTCAAATAACAATTTATTCACTCAAATACCAACCTTACAAAAAAATTACCTGATGTGAATCCCATGTAATTGATGATGGTAGGGAGATTCTGCAAGCTATCCACTTCCCTCATCAAAAATTTCACACTGTAAAGGTACTGATCAGGATCATGGCCAACATTGATGCTGCTCAGATAAGATCTAAGAAAATTTCAATCCAAATTCAGAGAGAAATTAAAACTAAGCAATTGCTGAATGATATTTTTCAATTTTTCTTGATAATAATGTATTTTTTTCGAGATTTTTTTGTACCTTTCAGTTTGCTTGAGATGGGTATAATTGGGTCCCAGAATGGGTTCAGTCAAGGTAAGGTAAGAAACACAGCCTGGCACAGTGAATTCAGGTTGTCCTGGATCCAAATCAACTACTCTGATTTTTTTGTGAGCATTCAAAAGCCTGTTGATGGCATATCTGATGAATGTACTTTTTCCTACCCCCTTACCACCTAGAAAACAATAGAAACATTTTTTTTCAAGGTGATTTTGAAATGAAAACATCAGTTCAGCTAATATCTTCAAAATAATTGGGAATTGAACGAAAAAATGGGAAAAAAATTGAATGTCACTTTCCCAGGAAATCCAAGGAATTCCAAGGAAATTCAAGGAATTCCAAGGAAATCCAAGAAATTCCAAGGAAATCCAAGGAATTCCAGGGAATTTTAAGAAATTCTAAGGAATTCCAAGGAAATCCAAATAATTCCAAGGAATTCCAAGGTAATCCAATAAATTCTAAGGAAATCCAAGGAATTCCAGTTGTTTGTACACCAGAATTATACAGCACTTCACTCAAAGAATTCCAATGAAATCCAAGGAATTTCAAGAAATTCTATGGAAATCCAAGGAATTCCTATAAATTCTAAGGAAATCCAAAGAATTCCAAGGAAATCCAAAGAATTTCAAGGGATTTCAAGGAATTCCAAGAAAATCCAATGGATTTTAAGGAAATCCAAGGAATTCCAGTTGTTTGTACACGAGAATTATACAGCACTTCACTCAAAGAATTCCAAGAAAAACTAAGGAAATCCAAAGAATTCCAAGGAAATCCAAGGAATTTCAAGAAATTCTAAGGAAAGCCAAGGAATTCCAATAAATTCTAAGGAAATCCAAAGAATTCCAAGGAAATCCAAAGAATTTCAAGGGATTCCAAGAAAATCCAATAAATTATGAGGAAATCCAAGGAATTCCAGTTGTTTGTACACCAGAATTATACAGCACTTCACTCAAAGAATTCCAAGGAAATCCAAAGAATTCCAAGAAAATCCAGGAAATTCCAAGAAATTCTAAGTAAATCCAAGGAATTCCAAGGAAATCCAAGGAATTCCAGGGACTTCTAATAAATTCTAAGGAATTCCAAGGAATTTCAAGAAATTCTAAGGAAATCCAAAGGATTCCAAGGAAATCCAAAGAATTTCATGGAATTCCAAGGAAATCCAATAAATTCTAAGGAAATCCAAGGAATTCCAGTTGTTTGTTTACCAGAATTATACAGCACTTCACTCAAAGAATTTCAAGGAATTCCAGGAAATTCCCAGGAACACCAAGGAATTCCAAGGAAATTTAAGGAATTCCAAGGAATTCCAGGAAATTCCAGGAAATTCCAATAAATTCTAAGAATTTCAAGGGATTCCAAGGAAATCCAATAAATTCTAAGGAAACCCAAGGAATTCCAGTTGTCTGTTCACCAGAATTATACAGCACTTCACTCAAAAAATTCCAAGGAAATCCAAAGAATTCCAAGAAAATCCAGGAAATTCCAAGAAATTCTAAGTAAATCCAAGGAATTCCAAGGAAATCCAAGGAATTCCAAGAAATTCTAAGGAAATCCAAGGAATTCCAAGAAATCCTAAGTAAATCCAAGGAATTCCAAGAAATTCTAAGGAAATCCAAGGAATTCCAAGGAAATCCAAGGAATTCCAGTTGTTTGTACACAGAAGAGTTTCCAATTTCTTTTTATTATTATTATCATTACCTGTTACTAATAACTTTGTAGATGGTGTTACTGTTTCTAAAATTGTATCCCATTCACTATTTTCCACCACTACATTCCAGTCACCTTTGGGCTCAAACATAACTTGAGGAAATTCTTTCTTGTCAGTCTTTGGAAATATTTGCTGGGAAATGTGCTTTTCTATGAAACTAATTTTTGGGTCATCTATTCCTTTGCATCTAAAAACAGCAGTAGTACTATTGATATAAATCTCTTTCAAAGAATCAGGCACTGTTAGAGTTGGTATTATTTCTGAAAGTTTCCCATCCTTTCCATTACAAGTTGAATTTTTGATTGAGAGGAGAGATGATCCTCTTGGGGAATAAACACTGATTTCTTTGGAGTTCTCATCCAAGACACAACCCAGAATTTCAACTTCTCCTTGCAAAACTTTGACACTGAACAAACCAAAAAATGGTACAGTTCCATGGTCTTTCATCAACACCAGAAAATCACATCCAATTTCAAAAGTTTCAACTATCTTTATAAGATTCTCTGATGGTTTAATTGTCTCAGCTAAAAGTGTACTAGATTCATTGGAATATTTCACAATTTCCATAGATTCTTGAGCAATTTCACATTTATCCATGAAATCTGATTCCCTAGTATCTAAATCATCTCCAGACTGAGTTTCTTCATCCACATCTTCAGGCATAACCTCCATATCTTCAGATAAAACCTTCATATCTTCAGATAAAACCTTCATATCTTCAGATAAAACATTCACATCATCCTCATAGGGGGTGAAAAATATATTTTCATGACTGATTTTGGCATTTTCCAAGCCATTACTGACAAATTCATAATCAATGCCTGCATGGGCTTCTGTCACTGACTCATTCAGACTATGTTCACGTGTATCAAAAAAATCACTCAGTGTAAAAGATCCTTGGCTATCATCAGTTTCAGAGCCAGAAAGTACTATGTATGATTCTCCAGATGATAATTTTGTTTTTATACTTCTAGGAAAAAGAATTTCTTCTTTGGTGAAATTAGAACTTTTAAAATCTGTTTCTGATTTAGAGGGGGAAAGAGAATACCTGCCATTTTCATCATTAGATAGTTTTCTCTCCCTTTTAGAGTGTTTTTTAGACCGATGGGGTTGATTCCTTTTTGGTAGTTTGAGGCAGAGGGCTGTTTTAGGCTCAAAATACTCGTCACTGCTCTGAGGAGCTATCCGTTTTTTCTTCTTTCTCATTTTACCGTTCGTTTCTGTTTTCTTTTGCTTTTTCGTTGGAGGAGAGGAGAATGCAAATTCGGATTTGTACTCGGCAGGAGCAAAAGCAATTTTCTTGGCTGTTCTTGGCATATTTTTTTGTTCTCTGTCCTTGTACAGTGACTCGCGAACAGATTTTACGTAGTTTTCATTCATATCAAATCGAATCACAAAACACCATACAAAACCACATCGCAGAATTTTCTGTTTTCCAAATCGAAAATAAAAATGTGTGTTAGGTTAGGTTCTTCTGCTTCTTTCTTCTTTGGTTATGTAATTATAATGATCTGATGATCTCTTGACGTACGTCTTGGCCGTCTTGGCTACACAGAACTCAAGTTCTGTGCTTGGGTCCACAGAACTCAAAGACTGTGCTTGGGTCAGGACGTTAAATGGGTGTCGGCTTCATGAAGCCAACACCTTTCTACAGTCCTGCCCGAGACACCGATTCGTAGGAAGAATCTTCTGACTTCTGACGAACGTCTCGGGCCACAGCAGGCAGCAGGACCTTAAATGGGTGCCGATTGACTTCATGAAGCCAACACCTTTCTACAGTTTTGCCCGAGACGCTGATTCGTGAGAAGGATCTCTTGACGTACCTCTAAAGGCAGGACCTTAAATAGGTGTCTGCTTCATGGAGCTTTTTACAGTCCTGCCCGAGACGCCGATTCGTAAGAAGGATATTCTGACGAACGTCTCGGGCCAGGACCTAAAATGGGTGTCGGTTGGCGTCATGAAGCCAACACCTTTATACAGTCCTGCCGGAGGCGCCGATTCGTGAGAAGGTTCTTTCGACGTACGTCTTTCGGTGAATTTACTCGAATTTTTTATATATTGTAGAACTCGTGGTGCTGATCAAATGTCTCCATTGCACCAACGCTCTAAAATCAACAGCTATGATTATATAGGGTGATAAAGTTGACTTTTCCAAAATTTTAGATAGAAATTGTGAAGACACCTTTCAAAATTTCAAAACCAAATCAACTATGCATTGATTGTTCGAATGACCGATACGAATCTACTATGGAGTATAATAATTCCTGCACGTACTAACAATATACAGGGTGGGTCGGAATATAGCGAATAATTCAGTGGTTTTCGGAAAAGTGGACAGTGGAATTCATTTAAATTCTGTACTATACAAATATCATCCCAAATTCGGGATATTAGCATCTCCTAATCAGACATCATATATACAAGATGTTTTATTTTTGGTAGTGTCACATCCATGTTGGGTACTTATTATTGGCATCCTTATTATGACTTACAACTTGAACAACCTATTGGGAAACTCGTTTATTCCGTGGTCCTTTCGGCTCTCTTATAGAAAAGCACGTGAAACTCAATCAAGCTTTGTCTTCATGATTACAACCTTGAATAAATATTTTTACATGTTCCGAAAATAATATTATGAGAAAGCTTAGATGTTGATACGTTTGATAGATAATTTTCCTCATCTCTGATACAAAAAAAACCACGAATTCTCACATGACTCTTATGCCTAAATCAAGTTTTAATGTTTCTGGATGAATCTTTAAGACAAAAATTGATACTAAGACTATGCTTAGAACTATGACTAGGACTATGTGAATGTTGCATAAATCCGCCATAAGTATCTCAGTTCGATAACAACTCGTTGGTGAATAAATAGAAGAAAATGGGAGCGCAATCTCGTATAATCCCTGAACACAACGGTGAGAGTTATATCATCAAAGTTCGCAGCATTTTCAGACAAAGTGGATATAAATATATCACATAAACGGTGTGAAGTTGTTGGCTCTGCCAACTATACAATTTCCTCCTTGATTTAATGAGCTCTCATCCCGAATTTATTACTACGGACTACACGCCAGAGGAAAACTATAATCACAAATATCGAAAAAACTCTCATCTTTCAAGACATAACTACTCGCCAACTTCGAAAACTCCCTAACGTCACGCAAGTTCTTGACAAAAAAAGAACTCCTAATGACTGTAATGTTTAAATGTTGATGCAAAGGATCCCCCCCCCTCACTGCAACAAGGGGAAAATTGGCTACAGAGTGATCCACGTTGGATGGCCTATTAAAAGTAAGTATCTGGAGAACGAAAAAACAGAACATTCTGAAAATTGAGATGCTTCGATAATTGAACATTCTCTGTCCGCCTAAAATATTTTCATCGATACAGTGTTGCCACTTCCATCAGAAACAACTATCAACTTTGTTATTTCAAATGGAACACCCTATCCCTAACAACACAGGGATGTCCTAGGTACGTCCCTTTTTTGTCCCGCGGTACAAGGACATGATTGGGGCATCCATCAGGGGATGTCGCGCAGTGGTTGTCCAGTGGACATCCCGCCCGGTACATCCCTAGGTTATCCTATTCGTGTCCCTGGAATATCTGATATCCATTCACATCAGAGTCACTGAACTTCATCAAAGTATTAAGTTGCATTTTTTTGAAAATGTTTGTTTTTCTTCCGGAAAACAATCGTAATGAAAATAAAGAATAAAGTTTCAGAACTTCTTAAGAAATTACCATTTTTCGCAAACAGAAATCGTACATGCATAATGCCCCTCATTTTTAAACACCCAAGAATGATATAATAATTATTCCCAAATTCTAAAAAAGTTGTATTTATTCAGGTTTCTGTAGTTAAGTCCTGTTCATAAATCTGTTACATAAATCTTCAGGAGGCTCAATAGCCAATGGAGTAAGATGCGTGCTCGATAAGCCAAAGGTCCCGGGTTCAATCCGTACTCGAACTACATTTTTTTTCTTTTGTCGAAGGAATGTCCCTGGGATATCCTTTCTTCGTACTTGGTACATCCCAGGGACGTACCAGAAGGACATCCCAAGGATGCCTCTTCTTGTGGAAAGCGGATGTCCCTGGGACGTCCCTAGTATGTATCATGTTCCGACACAGGATATTCCAGGGACGTCCTCGTAGAAAATGAAGGACGTCCCTGGGACGTCCTTGGGGCGTACTCGTGTTGTTAGGGATATTTTATTGCTTCCTTAGATTCTTCCTGAAGAGCTGATTTCATCAATGCATCACACTTGGGGTCTAACAGGGATGATTACAGAGATATAGGGTGTTCAAAATCGAGATTTTTTAATTTCAGGATTGTTTTTTGTCGAAACTATGCATTATCGATCTACTGGAATTTAATCGGAAAAATTACAGGGTGCTTCAAGATTCAAAATTCTGATCACCCTGTATCTGTACGGAGGAATAGTCGGTAGTGAATACCAAACGCTTAGTAGAATAGGCGCCGCCAGTCACTATACATTCATCAAATAATACCACTACAAAGTTGTACAATACTAAACTACGAGTATTATACTATTTTGTAGAGGTATTATTCGATATAGTATTATATAATGTTGTAGTGGTATTCTGGTATTATTTGATGAAAGTTGTGACTGGCGCCTATTTTACTAAACATTTGGTAATAACTACCATCTTTATTTTCAGTGCTCCCTTGTTGTGGTGCGGGGTCCTTTGAAAAAAACTCAGCAATCATAGCCAATAATTGAATATCGGAGATAGTGAGTTGATATCAAAGGTATTTAGTATAAAATTCTCTGAACTAAATGGGAATCAACTATCAGACTGTCTACATGTGTTTTTCCGAATTAAATTCCAGCAGAGACGCGCATTCCTGATAACGTTCATTACAGTACAGAACAGAATACAAAGCAACTCGATATTGTTATAGTGTGGGGGTGTTACGAAAAGAAAGGGGCATTCCTTTGCGGGCACATTAAAAAACAACACAATGTTCAACGGTCGCGTCGAAGCCTTGCGGGAGTTATCATTAGCATTTCAAAGTAGATGAAAACCTCTAGAAATGTTTTTCCAGTCGGTGAATGTGGTCGGAGAAGCAAAAAGTTCGACTTTGACTTAGGAAACGATGCAAAAAAATCATGAACGAAAAAATACAAAGTGGAGAAACATTGTTCAAGAGATTGGTTACTTCACTGTCTGCGTGAGGACACTTATGAAGCACTTTCAGTGCCGACATTTTGAAAACTTCCCACTCTCAATTTACTATGGAAAATTGAAAAAAATAGATCGAATTTGGTTTCAAGGGAGACACTTGAAATGAATATTTTTGGTCCTCTTGGTTCAACCACCTATAGAAGGGGTAGATATTACCCTTAGAATCTCAAATGGGAAGGGGGGGTCAAGTTGCATCATTTTGAAGGGCGTTCAATTATTTTTCTAACGATATCCTAGTTCATTATTTTCTGTTGAGCAGTTTCCGAAAAACGCCGTGTCAATTAAAAAACGTACCACCCTTGATATGTTTCTTCCAGTAAATAATATGAAACATCGGAAAGACAGGTCGATTTTATTTTCAAGGAGGACATTTTAGATGCATTCTTTTAGCCCTCTTCGTTGAACCCCCTAGGAGGAGTAGATTTTATACTTACAACCTTATACCGGGTGACACATCAGGAGACAATGTAACAGCCTGTAGTTTTTTTATTTGAAACTTTGAAATTCACGAGAGTTATATTATCGATGATGGTGCTTTTCTTGAACCCAATTACAATTTTCTTCAACCACCTGTTTGATTCCCAGCGAGCACAAACATCCCTGGGATGTTTTGCGATGTTTTGAAAATGTTGGCATGAAAATGTTATTTTGAGACGTAATATGCACTGACCAAAGAGGTCTTCGAAGGATATTGAAGTATTGTTTTTGTTCTTTTGTGCCCTTTCTTTGTTTGCCCCACCACAACGTCTCATGCTTACGTCACAATACGATGAATTCTGATTTGTTTTCGATTTTGTTCTTCTTGTTCGCAATTGGCATTCGCGTTTGCAGCGTGTCACGCTTACATCACGCTGCTAACGAACAGAAAGGAATTTGGTGAAGTTTATTGTGTTAGAAGACTTATTTAGTTTGTAATAATGACCATCAGATGCAAGATGTGTTGTTCGGTGCCTCAGTGTAATCAATATATAAAAGTACGAATTCATCAATACACAGCTTCTCCGCAGTTGCAAAATTATGCATTGTGGAGAACATTTCGAAAATTGGGAAACCTATTTCCAATTATTATATGTCTGAGTGTAGTAAGCACTACTCAGAAACCGATTAGGAAGGAAATTTCATATCAAGAAAATATTTTTATGTTCAATCTATTTTTAATGCATTTTTTTCATTCCAAGGAAATGGAATCCTAATGCAAAAGTTCATTTTGACAAAAGGCTTCAGAAAAGTACCTCGAAAATGGTTTTTTACAGCGATTTAATGTG